CTCATATGCCTGTCCTTGGGGTGCGCGTTCTCTTGAAGATTCCTCCGATTGCTCAAACTCAAGACACGTACGGCTAACACCCTTCTCATGACACAGCACACCGGACATTGATCACACGGAAGCTCAAAGGTCTCGAGGATATCATCTCGTTTACATCAGTCCACTGGCATTTGGGCGAAAATGGTATGGGTCTTCAGATTCGAAGGCGCTAGAGAACGAAGCTAATGTCTTCTGCTGGAAAGGCTGGCGATTTGCAACAGCCGACGAAGAGGTTGCAGGAGAGAATGTCACCCCAGACCCGTTGCATCCTGATTTCACGCATCTGCGTGCTATATACTTCTCCAATGATCCGGATTATACTGGAAGATTCACCGTCCCAGTGCTGTTCGATAAAAAGACGCAACGGATCGTGAGCAATGAGGTACGTTGATAGCCACTATATTCCCTGTCGCCTGAACCCTTACTGATTTGAACATTTGAACAGAGCGCTGAGATCATTCGCATGTTCTACTACGAATTCGATGATCTCCTTCCCGAAAAATACAGGAACGTCGACTTGTACCCTCCCGCTCTCCGAAGCGAGATCGACGCCACCAACGACTGGACCTACAACGACGTCAACAACGGGGTCTACAAGTCCGGTTTCGCGACGACCCAGGAAGCGTACGAGAAAGCTGTGACAACCCTCTTCGCCTCCCTCGACAGGATTGAAGCCCATCTCTCAAAGGACGCCAACTCTCCGTACTTCTTCGGCTCATCTATCACCGAGGTCGATATCCGACTTTTCACGACTATTGTCCGCTTTGACCCCGTCTACGTGCAGCACTTCAAGTGCAACATACGTGATATTCGCTCCGGATACCCGGCCATTCATCGCTGGGTGCGTCGCCTTTACTGGGATGTTCCCGCGTTCCGGGAGACGACGGATTTTGAGCACATTAAGAAACACTATACGAAGAGTCATAAGCAGATCAATCAGTTTGCTATTACTCCTGTCGGGCCGGTCCCAGATATTCTTCCTAAAGACGAAGAAGTTAGAGCCGTTGCTGCACAACAGTAAATGAAGGATCTACTACTGTATTTGATGGACAATCTTATGGGAATACATGTCACAGCATACTCCATACTGGATAAGAGAATTCAAGTCTGTTTGACAGATGATCTAATTCTGTTGTTATCTGAGTCAGGGCCGACGCTGTGGAGCGTGAAATGTAGATACATTGTTCCAGATTTTTCCAGTAGGACCCGCAGGTACCCTTGGTTATACAAGAATGAAGAAAGAGAATGCAACAAATATGGACAAACGCCACCATATGCATTACCATGCGACGCCCTGCCATGCTAAGGGTGGTCGCTATGCAAAACCGTCCCCAAATGACCATCAGCGGTGGACCATGAGTCGCATGAGTCGCATCGAGATGTCAATACTCAAAATACAGGCTCAGAAACAAGAGAGAGTTCGAATGGTTAGATGGGACAAAAGCCAATAAACAGAGAAGGCAGGAAAGGGAATCCTAACTGGGAAGAAGGCCTTTGCCGCTTATGGCGACTTGGCTTTATGGGTATCTTGACAAAATATTCTAGAAGTGAAGAAATTAGAAGGGATAGCGAGAAGCGAAGAGCGACTGTTCGGACCGGGGATCTGAGGTGTTATCTCAGTCCAAGCATTCGTTTGGCGTTCTCATATACAACGTAGCTGATCGACACGGCGGGTGCTACTTTGAGAAGATTTGGCGTAAGTCCTTTGTAAAAGCCACGAGGGCCTTCGGTTTGAAGTGTTTTTCGCGCAACATCAGTGATACCGGTGTATGTTGTGGGGTGGAGTACAGTGCCTTGGGCCTGTAGTCTGGTACGAAGGACATTCAGTGGGTAAACAACGGAAGCGCTGAACCCGCCGCTCAGAGCACCGATTGCTCCTGTGGTGAAGTTGTTGAGGGGAACATCATCTTCATGGCAATGGTTAATCCGGGCTTGCCGTGCAAGGAGAGCGCGTTTCAAATATTCGAAGGTTGACAGATCGATGGCGGCGTAAGGAAACATGCCAACGAGGCCTAGAGGCAAACCACGAAAAAAGCCCGGGAGGCCTGCTTTGTTCCACACTTTCCGAGCAGTAGCTGCGATGAGTTGATTGCCTTTCAAGCCACCCTCGACGGTGTCACATTGCATTCGGCTAAGACGGGTTAGTTAGCTTTAAAATGGAATTTTTTACTGAACCACCGGGACTTACAATTTGAGGGTATCAAGAGGGTAGACGAAGCATCTACATCACTGTTAGATAACCCTGTTTTGCGGGGAGATAGCGTCACATACTGGGCCACCATCCCACCAAATCCACCGGACAGGAACTGCGACGTAGGCTGGAGTCGTTTAGGATCGTTATGTCCTTCAAAACGAGCGAAGGCACGTTTTGCGGACTATTCATCACATCATTAATTGCTGACCATAAGTCGCCTTGGTGGACAATCATGTCATACCTCATAGGCTCCAAATTTGATGGCTGATTCGGGCATAACTTTAACGACATTCAAGCCGTTTCCTTCTGGCTGTCAGTAGATTCCGTGACACAAGAAGCAGTTAACCTACCGGCAAACAAGCTCCGTATCCCCCCAGCACGCCATAACTCCTTTACGGCACCGACAAGTGTCCTGGAAGCACAGCCAGCTGCCTTCAATGGAGCACCATCCTTCGCTACCTGGGCAGCGCTTTTCTTCGCGCCAGTCTGGGCGATAAGATAAACTTTAAGCCGATCTAAAGGCGCGGTGGCTGTTCTTGATACGGCGCCTGCGATCCCGCCCGCAAGAAAATAACCTAATTGAGGAGTGTTCTCGGTCAACTTCTGTTCAAAATATCGGAAGGACATCCACATGGCGACAGTCCTGGGAATGGGCAGCCACTCCAACTCGAAGTCATCGTCTAAAGGGAGAGAATCATGCTCTAATGCGGCGCCCAACAATAACGTCCCGCCGGCTTCGGCGTAAGCTGATGGAACCAAGGCTGTCAAAGAGTGCACAGGGAAGATATTGTACAAAATGTCTTTGATGGCCAAAAGATAACGCGTAAGAAACGAGTGGTCTGTACCTAAACCCTGCAGATCATTGATGTGGACATCTCCTTCCGGGTTTAGATTGCCCGTGGCCGTATAATATGAGAAAACAGCGTGCAGGTCGGATGGCGAATGGGCGGGAAGAAATAGAAGGAAGTCCCTGAAGTTGAACGGTCAGCCATCATTAGCAACTTCATCTGACCCTTCATGCACGTACCTCCACTCTGGATATGAAATGACACCATCCTTGTTTGAGTCAACATCCTCAAAGAAGGCGTCTAGTTTAGCGCTAGACAATGTGATCCCAGAACGAGAAAAGGCAGCCCTCAGTTCGTTCTTGTCTATCACTCCATTTTGGTTGCGATCTATGCTCTCAAACAGTCGCCATAGCCCGTGTTCAGTATGGTCGACAAAGGCTCGAAATTCTAATCATCATTAGGCAGGTAAAAAAAACTGGCATTAAACCAGTTTGCAACAGGAGAGGGAAAAAGCTCCTGACAAAGTCCGTATGATCTTACCAGAGAAGTCTATGTATCCATCGCCGTTGGTGTCGACCGTCTGCAGGATATTTCGTATCATGTCATCCGCATTTTTCAACGCTGTCAAAATTGCGATAGCTCAGGTCAGTCAGCTGCTCAAGGCGCACGGGATCCGGTCAGGGAGTATGCTCACGATGGTCAATCCTCTTGAACCCCTTCTTTAAGCCATTGATATCGAGTTGACCTTTTTTCTGGACGTCCAGGCTTTCCCAGAGTTTTGCGACTCTTTGGTCACGTTCATCTTTGGACTCGCCGATTGCCATGTTCGATGTTTATCGACTATAGCCGAGGACCCGTCATTATTTTCAGAGAGGTCACAGAAATTTAAGGTCGGAGCTTTCCCTGTGAGGGCAGGGGTTCGTAAATTTTCGTAATGACTGGTGCATCGAATCCGTAGATGTTGCAATATGAAGAAAAAACCGCTATATGCTGTGCATTATTATTGCAGTTGTTAATGAAACCAAGCCCAACACAACTCCCCATGAGAAATCCAGCCGCAATGATTTGCTTTCCTTACGACATCAGCCGGAAGAAAAGCAGGTTCCGGCCCGGTTCACGGGACCAGAGGGCCCAACCCTACTAGTCCCCTTTAGGAAAGATTCCACCCCCGATTACATGTTCGAAACGGCATATTAGATGAACTGCACGCCGCGGCATGCGAGATCTCTTGCTGTCTGATATACCTAGAATCGTTCTTTGGATAATTCAGCTCAAGTTTTCCTTCGAGACAGCTTTGTCTGTGCTTTTCCACTGTGTCAAGTCGACTCATATGGGCTCTGGTTACGAGTGATATGCCCATATCAGTTGTTATCTCTAGTGCCATCATGATGAATCTATCAACCTGAAGAAATAAGGCAATATTCAAGTGCTTGATCAAGGTTCGGAGATGGCGGCCAATTATTGGGCGTCAACCCAGCGTCGACATTGGCTGTTTACAAGAGAAAAATTGGCGGAGATTCGGGAAATCTTTCGTGGAGGCGATAAAGTTGCTCATACCCAGTTCCCTCTACCGGACCAGAGACTACTCAATATCTATTTCAGTCAGCGTAAGCGAGAGCCAGATATGTTTCTCAAGAAGAGGATTGGGCTGATTGCAAGCAGAACTTATAAAGCTTGGAAAGCGAATGTCAACTAGACAGCAAGCTCTTGCGACTGCTCAAGTGTATATCAAGCGATTCTATACGAAGAATGAGATCAGGCATACAAACCCGTACCTCGTTCTTACGACTGCCTTTTATCTCGCTTGCAAAATGGAAGAGTGTCCCCAACATATCCGTTTTGTTGTCGGTGAAGCCCGGAGCCTCTGGCCAGGTATAGCATCCGACATGCGGTTTGCATAACATCGCTAACAGATATCAGAATTTATTACTCCGGATGTTTCAAAACTAGGCGAATGTGAATTCTCCGTGATATCAGAAATGAACTCGCAACTCATTGTGCACCATCCATATCGAACATTATCAGAGCTTCAGCCCGAACTGTCACTCACGTCGGATGAGGTTGCTCTTGCATGGTCTGTGATCAATGATCATTACCTGACGGACCTACCTCTCCTATATGCCCCTCATGTCATTGCGGTCATGGCGATTATTGTCGCAGTTGTCTTCAAGCCAAGTTCCGGGAATTTCCACGGGTCTGCGGCGCCTGTCCTCACCGGCGCAATGAGGGATGGCGGAATGAATGTGCTGGCTGCATTAGGAGACCGGACTGGTTCCGGGCCTCCTCCCAAAATCCAGAAACTCATCAGCTGGCTTGCTGAGAGTGAAATCGACATCAAAGGTGTCATTGAGTGCACCCAGGAATTGGTGTCTCTTTATGAAGTTTGGGAGCAGTACAGCGAGAAGACTTGCAAGGAGCTACTTGGGCGGATGGTCAAAACCAAAAATTTGGACAAATGACGCTGGTCTGCATTTGATCTTAGTTTCACGGGCATTAAAACGGCGTTCAGTCTCTTCAGTTGTTCCATTGGCATGTCCTAGGCGCAGTTTTGGCTTACTCTGTTGTTCAGTCATTTAGCAGGTCGTGGACATATACCCACAGGCTCGTTCTATACTTGCTCACTCGCAAGTATGTAGATGATTCTATAGCTCACTATCTCTATTTAAAAGATATTGTTCATTTCGACCTGATGAGCCCGTAGCTTTTGGTATGCAATTAAGATCATCTCGTGGCTCACTTAGCAAGGTTCTAGCACTTGCGGCCCCAGGGTGTGGAAAACAGGGCTTTTCGTCAGCTCCGTCGTACTAAAGCCACCTAGTCTTCACAGGGTGGATAAGAAGAAGTTATATGCGCCCTTAGGGACTTGTTGCTTCGTAGGCGATCATCACTAGAGCATACCCCGCTAGCTTACATTATCTTGAAGAAGTTGAAAGGGCTCCTTTTCCCTCCCTTCCAGCTAACTGCTAACTGCTACTGAAGAGTTTCTTCCTATTCCCAAACTTCCTGAAGGAGTTGGCATCTTTATTTGGTTCCAATGGCTGGTTCTGGCTATTCGAAGCGATTAGCCTAGTTGGCTGATCGAGTGCAACTGCTAGCTGAAGCAGACCATGTATTGCAATGGTCGCTATCCAGTGATCCGCCAACAGGGAGTACTCATTCGTTCAGAAGCTCATGACGATGCAGCGCTTTCAGTCACTGACCATGTTCCGTCACTGACATCGCGACTGCGGAAGGCAGCGAGGCGTGTGAATCTCCCCTCCGATGGTCCTTGAGAATATTTGCTTCGAGTTGAACACATTCGGGTGGCCCCTTCTACACAGCAGTAGAAGCGTAGGCCGTGCGAATCCGGAAAATACTACTTATGTTCGCAGATATCTTGAATCAGGGTAACTGCTCTGTTAGTGTAAGAACAACAGTGTTCAAGTGCAGCCCGCATGTTGAGAACGACAGAACCGATTTGATGGACATCCACCATGAAAATTAAACGGATGGCATTGAGCTCTGATGAACAGTTGGATACCTCCCACTGCGTCACCTTCAATTAGCTCGAATACGTCAGAGCTGGATTTGAGAGGGATGGATTGAACAATCGCCATGAGATTGATCATAACGATATGCAGTACAAGCAAGATAGCAAACAAAGGTTTGAACCGGGTGAGGGGTAACTCTTTCATCCTGTCTTGGGACCCCTCACATCAATAAAGAGACTTGGGAAGGCTGAAACTCCCATCGTAAGACTCCAAATCATAAAATTATGGAAGAAGCGGTGAGATGAGCATGGAGTACTTGGAGAGTGCCTACACTTAGTTCTCCCCGACCGAGTTCATAACTTAGAACATGGACTTGACAAATTTGAAATGATGTTAGTTAACAGCTCATGCATTATGCAGGAGGGAGCCTTTGCACCAATGACCGACGAGACTAGTGCCCAACCATGCACTCAGGAGAAACAAGAAGAAACACATCCTGATCCCCAGGAGTCGATCTGCAGTAGCGTACGGAGAGGAGAGGGGTTGTATGGTCCGATGGCATGCATGATCCTACTCCGTTTGTATTTTGAGCAGATATGCCGCTGTGAAGTGCTTCATTAGCCGCCATTGAAAGATGTTTCTCTGTTTTGCCCATTCAGCATGATTCTACACGTTTCCGTTCAAAGAAGCAATTATCTCTACTCTTATCAGTTGAGACATCTCTATCCCCAGAGTATCCGAGGATGGGCATTCGATTAACTTAAGAACCCCATACAACCTTTTGCGACGATCTTCTTCGTATTCTGATAGTGATTACCACCAAGGCGCATGGTTCGAATTTTGGGGTCGATTGTACGAATCATGAACACTTATCGATGGTTGGTCGACTCCAACGGCAGCTAATCCCATCCGATTCTGGAAGGAATGCGGTACCTGCTTCGAGCCTGGAAGAGCTGTGTCAAGTCTACTGAGCAAGGTACCCGCTCAAGACCTTCTCTCAGACATATAGGTTATCTCAAATTGGTTCCGGAAGGTTTCCTTCTGGATCTCCGGCAAACAATGTCTGTCTGCATACTACATACCTTATGATCTTGCAGATATTGTTATTGTTGACCAGATATCCAAGGCTAAGGTTACCCCAGGACCAGATGACACGGTTCAAGTGAAACTAAGTCATGGTACCTTGCGGAGAGTGACGACCACAAATCAAGGCACAAAGGATTGGTGGAGTGCAATCATTACCCGCAGATATCGAGGGGGAATGGCGCTTGCTGGCTGCGCTTTCTGGATTGCAAGTTGCAACGCATGCCTGTCTGTCTTCGGAAATGGACACTCATACCAGTACCTTACGGTCCTTACCTTACATTCTCTCTCCTTTCTTTAATCGTCCAGAATAGTCAGGGACAATAAACAGACGTCAATATAGCTTTGAGGATCTAAAGCTTCCATTTAAGCTACAGAATGCTACCTGTACATCCACCAGCGCAACCCATGTGCAGGTACTGACTGACGCGAAGTCTACATGAGGAGAGTACTAAAGTACCTTTTGATAGTGCTGCACCATTTTAGGTTCTGGATTTGATGAATAACAGTCATTAGCAGGAACTTTATTGATGCTCATGCCTACAGTCATACACATACCGACCTGGAAGCAGGAAAATAAATGGCAGAATAACATATCACCTTAATTCTCCTGGTCGTTGCCGTCCATAGCTGCACTCCGTACCATCGAGTAATGACAATATCGCCCCAGGATTGCCAGCTAAGCCCAATCAAGAAAGCCCAGATTTCAGTGCAGAGACCGGGAGGAGATAAATTTACCAGAATAAGATTAGCCTGTAGCTAAAAAGACGTCACTTAGGGCGACTTACTAACCGCTTTTAGCAAAGTTAGAGTATTACTATTGGCCTTTTTTCAAAGTGGCTGTTTTGTCTCCACTTGTAGCTTCTCTAAATGGCTACCATTGGTTTTCTAGGTCCCACCTTGCCACTCAGATGCCGCGGACGGACTTCTGGTTGGATTCTGGTTGCCCTAAGAGTACTGCGTGACCTTGTTAGCGCCGAAAGTGGAACGCAGATATTACCATACAATCCCTCGTCAGGACCGACTTCATTATTACATGCCAGGTTGGCTGTATGGTAAACACTGTACTGATCTGGTACCGCCTTTGCAAGGGCTCCACCCGCTCCGAAGGATTGAGGACTCACTCAGCCCCAGCAAAACAACTGCAGCCCCTCCTGGCCTGTTGCCTCCGTCCGCTCCGAGCATCGACTTCCCTTTTCTTCGCTCCCGGTTCTTCTTTTCTACCTCTTGTCCCGCCCATCGATTCATGATTCCCCATCCCACAACCAACTAAAACACAAATTCGACCCGACCTTTCGCTCTCACTCCCACTCTTCTTCCTTAGTACTATCATTACTACATCCCCTTTGTATCTTTTGTCTTATATACTTGCATTTCAACTGTCCTCTTCCGTCTATACCCTTTCCTTTCGCCTTTGAAAACGTTCTTGTTGTCCTCAGGTATCGAGTTGTGCTGGTTTTCTGGTATCACCTCGAAAACCTGAGTCAGTAACATCAACATACTTCCGTCCCTCTATTCGCCACCACAAATTACATCAAAATGTCTACCTTCTTCTACGGTCATCACCAGCAGCATCACCAGCAGCATCACCATCAGGGTGCTACTAGCCACATGCCATCATCGAACAACCATCATAATGGCCGCTCCCGTAGAGGGCCCAAGATGGCCTCTCAGAATGCTCAACGTCAATTCCGCGGTGTGAAAAGTATGAGAGAACTTGCCGAAGCCCCTGCTGTGACTGCCTTCCGCGCACGGTTTGAAGCTGGACGGTCTTTCGACCTGGACGACGACCTGGAGTTCTGTCCGGGTCTCCTTACAGAGGACGATGTATGTTATGACAGCCCGGTTCTCGCACCTCCCGTTCCCTCAGACATTGGCCGAGCGCCTAGGACTCCTCCAACCAGCTAAAGTTCGAGGCATTTTATTAACACTCGAAATCGCAGCTACACTCAATTCACTCTGCTTCCTCGGATCGATCGTCTCTCTCGAGCGGTTCTCCAGACTCGTCTCCTCTTCAGCACCAGATTCAGCCTGTCCAACAGGTCACGCCATCCATCTCCTTGTCTCCCGCATCTAGCAATTCGTTCGTGCATTCAGGGGTTACCAGTAATCTTAATATGGGCTTCCAACAGCCGTCGGCGGTTCGCACTCGCAAAGTCATTCCCATCGTCAACCCTAACACCGGAATGACATTGACCAGCCCGCCCACGTCGATTTCGCCTGGTGCGATGCAGAATGCTCAGCGGCGGTGGTGAGGACTGCTATCTGCCCGGTCGCCATGTCAGTGACAGAGACCTCCGCTCATGGCATGTTTTCTCTTCTGCTGTCTCAGCTTCTGCATCATCGCGATTCCCTAACCGCCGGTTATAATTCTTCTGGTACTTACTTCCATACGGCCATCGCATCTTATCACGACTCAACCGAAGTTTCTTTTACGAGCGCAAGAAACCCAAGAGGATAAACTAGTGTTTTCTGTATATACACTTTTCTCCGATGACGACCTACAGCACTTCTATTAGATTCTCTGCTATGCTTCATCCTATTGCGAGCGACGGCGCCTGCGATTCGACTTTAGTTTTGCATTCTTTTCACACTCACACACGATACCTTGTTTTATCTTCCGGTTAGGGAAAACTATTCCTTTTGGCCTTGGGGTTTGGCCGCGATGATGATAGAAGCGCGGCTTGGCGCTTTCATGTCTATGGTCCGGAGTTGCTTCTGTTCGGTGTGCTATGGTGACTGTGTCAGATACGTTCAGTTTTCTGCCGATTCATCCTCGGATATTGCTTACTATTGGGGTTATTGATTTTTGGGCGGGACGGAATACTCATGCTTCAAAGGGATTAGAAAGGCGGAAACGATATACGTCTGCATTGTTGGGTTGATATCATTGGTTCTGATTGGGA